CCTAACTTAAACAGATGAAACGAGACGCAGCTATACGCAACATACAAAATAACCCATTCTTTTTGGTCCACTCGTTAATTTATCTTCTGCTTGCTTTTACCTTCTAAATAAATATGATCAATGTCTGTTCATTCGATATTGTTGATGTGTTTTTGTTGATAATTCCTTTGCTTTTCCTGTTGTTGTTATTGATTGTCTCATTACTTCACTCAATGGTGAACGTTGTTGTGACAATTTTTCATGACTCTCTTGACAGATAATAACGATGATTGATTCATCTACCAATTGGTGTTGCGATTTTCTCGAACGAGATAGAGTAAAGGTATTATCAGTTTCAGCCATGAATTAGATAAAAGAATCATGAACATAGTTTACATTTACGTCTATACTGTTCTTTTCTAGATGGAACTTTAGATGTTTGATTACAACCAGAAAATAAATAAGAAGGAGAAGAAGAAGAAAGTATGATTACAAGTAAAGATCAAATTCAACAAGTTTTTGAAGGTCAGTAAAATCAGTGAAAACATAATAGTTCAACAGATTAATGAGATCAATTTTTGTTAATTCTTGCAAATTCTCCTAATGCTAAGGTACAACTAGTAGGCCATTTTGTATTTTTTTTTCTACCTGTTACAATAGAATACTTTTCTTTTATAGATTGTCGAAATAATGTGAGACGTCGTCCATCCTATTGTATCACTAAACTACATGAAATTGCCAATGAACTAATTGGGTAAGTGTTTAAATATTTATTTTAATTTCTCTAAATGTTTTTCTTTTACTATAGACACATTGAATTTTCGAGAGAGATTCGAAAAGATTTTGGTATACTCCTATCATGTGGTAATTCATTTTCTCTAATATTCTTACCAAAAATTTTAATTGAAATATTTCATTATTCTAGTTATTGAAAATGAAGTACAATCATTTGATGACATTCGTCAAGATATTTACGCTGATATTCATCGTCAAACTATCTTGTATTCAATTGATTTACTATGTAAATATATCATGACATTAGAAAAACTAATAGTTAATGACAGTGGTAGCAACAGTAGTGGTGAACAGTCACAAATGAAAAAATCGGTTAAACGAAAACGAAGTGGTTCTGTTCGACACGTAAGTAGACTAGTAAAAAATATATTTTTTTTACATGAAAATTCAAATATTTTCTGAGTTTTTTTGTTTTTTTTTTATAGAATATTGATGAAATTCAAGTAACTGAATATGTTGATGAGCGAGAAAATGCATTATATTCGTTAACAAAATTAATTAATGTGGATTTTTCACAATTTTGGAAAGATGGGGAAAAAGTTGAAGAAGAAGTTGGAAAGTGAGTTTAAATTATAAAAACATTTTCACTATAATAATGTTCTGCTATTTTTTTTAGTGTTGTAATTGATGTTTGTTTGAACATTATTGAACATAATACCATTTCGGG